GGGTTAGCCTGGTGATGGGTATTAAAGAGGGCACGTTCTGCGTGGAGCACTGGGTGTTATGCACAAACAATGAATCATGGAACACTACATCACAAACTAATGATGTAATGTACGGTGATTAACATAACAATAAAAAATTTAAAGGGAAAAAAAATGAAAGCTGGTCTTGCTTCGCACAAGTTACAGATAACTGTTACTGCTTTTTCATAGACAAAGCCCCTGACCTTCAAGAAAGTGATAGGGGAAAAAAATATTTCATCTTGTTTTCTTTAAAAAAAAAATTTTTTTTTTACTATATCTAAGAAAGAAAAAATATTGATCTATATGTTGCCTAAGCTACAAGGTATAGGAAAACAGACAACATCTACACATTAAATTTTTTTTAAAGATTTTATTTGTGAGAGAGAGCATGAGCGTCGGGGAGGAGCAGAGGGAGAAGCAGAGTCCTGGCTGAGCAAGGAGCCCAATGCAGGGCTTGATCCCAGGACCCCGGGATCATGACCCGAGCCAAAGGCAGACGCTGAACCGACTGAGCAACCTAGGCACCTTACACATTATATTTCTAAGAAACACGAGGTAAAAGAAAATCTTTGGGTAAGCTCTAAGTTTGTACGAAGAAGCTAGATTTGCTATTCTCCAAAAAGCAAAAGACCCTACTGTGTAATATACAGAAATAATTTAATGCCTTTTCCCAAGAATGAAACTCAAGCGCTTGGTGCATCATATTCCATGAAGGCATTTAAAAGGCCAATCCATGCATGGAACCACTCTTTCCTCCCCTATCCATTTTCATGCATTTCTGGCCAGGTGTCAAAGACAAAGGCCAAGAGGTGCTGCAGGACTTCATCCCTGTTCTGCTGGAAAAAGGTCTGGAGGATGGTCATCTTCTCATGGGTCTCCTTGTCCACTTCCATGCTGCAGCTGCCTGGGGATCCCAGAGCCACATCTTCCATGGCCTTGAACTCCTTTTCTCTTTGCAGGCAGTATTGTTCAATTTCAGTCTGAGCTGCTTCTTTGGCCTGCTTCAGCCTCTGGTTCTTCTGCTTGTGGGCCTTGGACACCTTCTCAGAGGCCCACTTCATGGCATGCAGCAAGCTGCTCGATGGACTGGCTAGCCATGGCGGTAGCCACTCTGGGGCCGAGGTGAGTCTAGGATTTTTAAATGGAGATGTATCTCACTCTTCCCACTTTGGGGATTTCCAATGTCAAGGTAAATGCTCTGATCTGGATGTCAGAAGATCTGGGGTCTAATCTTGGATGCACCATTAACAGCTGGGCAACCCTGAGCAAAGGACTTCACTTCTCTGGGCCTCGGTTGGCACATCTGTGAAAGGAAGGGTCTCTAAATTACCTCCATGGGTCATTAGCATTTGCCATCTAGGTATAGGACAATCAAATGAGAACTTACAGTTTCATAACATGCGTTCCTTCCAGGAAATATGTAAAAATGGAAAACAATTTGATCATATGTAAATCCAATCCCAAGATGAGAAGAGTACTCTCTTCACATGGACCTGTTCTTCCACCAGCTTTGCAAGATTCCCTTTGGGGAAAACTGAGTAAGATTCTGCCTGATTAATTCTTGAACCTCAAGGAAGGCTCAGGAAAGGCGGAAAATAGAATGGAATAGAGCCTCCACGTCAAGCACTAGGGAGGGATTAGACAAAGATGAGAAAGAGACAGACTGCCTTGATCTTTACGGGGCTCACATTATCATGGGGAAAAAATGAATATGTTTTACACTGTCCTTGACCTTTTATTTCTCTCTTGCTGAACATATTCCATTTTTCTATATACTTTGTCATCCTAAAATTCAATTCCTCCCAACATCTTAGCATTACTTTACCTGGAAGTTTCAGGCTATGTAATGTGAGTGTCCTCATTTACTTATTCAGGACCGAATTATTAAAATATGTTGAGATTCACTCAGGAGGGAAGCAGAAATACATGTTAAGAGCTCTGGAGGAATCCTTCAAGGTGGTCGGTGAGGTAGACAACAAAATCGTGATGGTTTAAAAGATTCTTTGACACTTCTTGCAGCAAAAGGTGGGGTTCTGCTCCCCCTCCCCTTGAATTTTGACTCATACATGACAGCTCTGGCCAAAAGAGTACAGCAGGAGAGCTGTTCTGGGTCCTCCAAAGCTGTGTTATCAAAATCAACACAACTACCTTGTCTGCTGGAACATTTGTGCTGGAAACCATGAGTCCCACACAAGAAGTCGGACTGTTGCAAGGCTGCCATATTGTGAGGAGGTCCGCACTGTGTGTAAAGTACGCACAGGTAATCCAGTGGAGGTCTCCCAGCTGAGATCCTAGTTTGTAGCCAACATCAACTGCCGGACTTGTAAGTGAAGACAGTTCCAGATGGTTCCAGCCTTCAGCAATTGAGTCTTCCCAGCTAAGTCCCTAGACATCTCGGAACAAAGACAAGCCATTCCTGTGGGGGACTGGACCCACAGAGTCTGTAAGTATAATACAAGTCGTTTTAGACCACTAACTTTTGTATAGTTTATCATGCAATAATCGAAATAAAAACACACAACCATGTCTGTTTTCATTGATCTTCTTCCCTTGTCTTTTTTCTCTCTCTCTTTCTCCACCCACCCTCATCTTCAAATATACCTAATTCTCCTCAAACTTTGTTAGACCCTTTCACCTCTTTTGGCCTTTACCAGACCTGGCAGTGAATATGCCATAGAAACAAAACACAGTAAATCACATTATAATTTTCACACCTATAAGAGTCTACCCATGGTAAAAAAAAAGATTTCCATGCCCCAATGGATGAGTTGCTTATTTCAAAATTAGTTGTAAAACCACCTTAATTTTTCCATGGAGAAATGACTGCCCTATTCATCAAATTATCACAGGTAATTTAGAGGCCCTATGGTTCTTAACTTCTAGTATTCTGTGTGGGAAAACTGAAATGAATTATTCCTTGTGAGGCAGGAAATCTGAGCCACACTCTTAGTCTAAGTTAGGATGCTTTCAGTTCGGCCCTCAGATTAAGCCCATATGATGATCTAATTATCATTCAAACTCCCATACATTTCCTTTGCTTTCCAAGCATTCAGTGCTTCCCACCTTAGTGCTCACTGGAAGAAGAGAAAGCTTATGTTAAAACAAGACCACCTCTAGAAGCTTGTTAGCATGTGAGCTGAAACCTGACACCCTACAGTTACCACTGGCCAGTCAATGAAGGAAGAGCAATTAAGAGGAAGGCAGAATTAAGCATCTGCATGTGCCAAAGTCATGAAGCCAAGGTCATGATACAGTGAGAGAGAAGAGGGGGTGGAAATACTGACCTGCATTCACCTGTTTGGAATCATGGTAGAATGTAGAGAGGGGACCCCAGGAGTTCTGCTGCTCAGAGAACTATGATCCCATGAGAAGGTATGCAGGACCACAGTGGCTGAGGTTCCTCCCCCCAACAGACATGCAATGCCAGTGGCCACAGGCTAACCAGCATCAGTTTCAAGGCACAGCAAAAGAGCTGAAAGGGTCAAGGGACAAAAAATTTTTTAAAAATCCCACAAAGTCTGCAACAGGCAAAAAAATTGACAAAATTCATTAGCTCTTCGGGACGTAGAACCCTTGGTCCTGTAGGCATATAAACCCACAAGGTTGTACATATCTGTGCACATTATTTGGATCATGCTGTTGGTTTCACAGGTGTATACATATGCCCAATTTGTCAAATGGTACACTTTAAATAAGGACAGTTTGTCATATAACAATTATAGCTCAGTAAAGCTGTGAGAAAGAAAGAAAGAAGAAAGAAAGAAGAAAGAAAGAAAGAAAGAAAGAAAGAAAGAAAGAAAGAAAGAAAGAAAGAAAAGAAAGAAAGAAAGAAAAGAAAGAAAGAAAGAAAGAAAGAAAAGAAAGAAAGAAAGAAGAAAGAAAGAAAGAGAAAGAAAGAGAGAGAAAGAAAGAAAGAAAAAAGAAGAAAGAAAGAAAGAAGAAAGAAAGAAAGAGAAAGAGAGAAAGAAAGAAAGAAAGAAAGAAAAAGAAAGAAAGAAAAAAGAAAGAAAGAAAAAAGAAGAAAGAAAGAAAAAAGAAGAAAGAAAGAAAGAAGAAAGAAAGAAAGAAAGAAAGAAAGAAAGAAGGAAGGAAGGAAGGAAGGAAGGAAGATGTCACAGAAAAAAAAATGACTTATTTATTGGAGGCACTTTCTGCATCTAAAAGTATAAATGCAGTCAGGATAGCTCCTGAGTGTACAATTCAGTTCTAGGAAAAACTAGAATATAATTAGTACCCAGCCTCATCTCTATCTTTCCTCCAAAACCATGAGACAGGATTTTCTTAAAGGAAAGAAATTCTCCTGTCTCTTGACATTTGGTTGAAATATTGAAAATAAAGTGTAACTTGCATAGAGGGCTTGGCATATTCAATTCTCCATCTCTGTCAGGAGAGAAAGACAGGCATCTCGCTATATAGTGTGATTTATCGCAACAAGCACATGAGAAAGGGTGTTGTCTTCTTTTTCAGGCTACAGGCCTCTTCTAATTAATAGAGAACAGGGCTTGCTTTTTGCAGAGTTGGGGATGGGAGGGGATATTTGCAAACACCCATGTACCCATGAGGAGTGGGAGACAGTGTGATCAGAGTTGTGGCTGTTCTGTGTGGTTTTACACACCAGAGGGACCATCACAGACAAGATACACAGTACAGAAAAGCATGCATACAAGAATTACAGTTACCACATGCTGTCGAAACTGAGCCTCCGAGCCACCACCATGCTCTTTATCAAACCAAAGATAAAGAAAGTACCTTAAGATTGAAAATCCTGGGGGTGGGGGTTAGTGTGTATGCCTCCTGACTCAATTAGTTTGTTTACAAACGTTTACTGAACTGTCTGTTAGATTCCAAGGATGTAGACAGGGTAATAGGGATATATTAAACACATCCTTGACAACATAGAACTCATGCTAACTGGGGAAATGAAAGAATAAGCAATTAAAACACAACTTACCAGTTGCTGACATAGAGATATTTCTAAGGCACAATAGGAAACAAAACCCTAGCTGGAGAAATCCAAAAGTGCTTGGCATAGAAGAGGACCAGTGGGCTGGGTGTTAAAGGAGGAGTTGAAGATGGGAGTATAAAGGCACCTGGGTGGCTCAGTCGGTGAAGCATCTGCCTTCAGCTCAGGTCATGATCTCAGGGTCCTGGAATGGAGCTCCGCATCAGGTTCCCTGCTCAGCGGGGAGTCTGCTTGTCTCTCTGCCCCTTTCCTGCCTCATGCTCTCTCTCTCAAATAAATAAAATCTTTACAAAAAATAAATAAAATAAAATTGAAGAGTAAAGAAGATGCACTGATATGTTCCAGGCATGGGGAAGAGTTAACACATGAAGGGTTACGTGTGAGTTCCGTGTATGTGTGGATTAACACTTCACAAATGAAAATTTGATGAACACTAGGGAGTTCTGTGTGTCAGGTATGAGACAGCTGGTGGCAATTATGGGGTTGGGAAGTCTCCTCTTGATGTGGAGGGTAACAGTGCAGAAAGAGCAATGGGGAATTTGAAGGACAACCACATGATACACCAGGACATGGCAGCTACACCAAACAGCGGGCTGGAGACTGCCGAAAATGCCCCATCATCCCACAGAACAATGGCTCAACCAGGTGTGGTGGGCTGGGAACGGGACCATTTGCCAACCAGGTACCCGACTCAGTGGCTTTACCTAGAAAAGACACTGCCCCATCATGCAGTTGACCCGATCTTATCTGCGGCCCGTAGGTCTCTCTCAAGTCCTCAGGCTACCCTCAGGCTTAAGACCTCAATGAGATGATTTCAGAAGGACCTACTCATCCAGTTTGGTGAGCAAATTCCAGACACAGATAGAAGCTTTATTGTTCCAAGATGAAAAAATAGAAACAAGATAATAGGGGACCTATGAAAAGATCCTAAACACAGATGGATAGTATAATACTTATGAAGTAAAAGGAGGACATTCTTTTAAAGGATTTACTGCATAAATTTTAGACATTTGTCTTGTATTGTCAACAATGTTAAAACAAAAGACAACACAGTGAGATCAAAAGGCAGCTGCTAAGAAGGAACTATAAAAAGGGAACTAGATGAGATAAGCAGAGAATGTTACTATTAAATGTGTGAAAAGATTTTTTAAATGCATAAAAAAGTAAAAGAATCAACAGTGCAAAAGAAAATCACATCAGCAATGTGGAAGACAATTTTGAGGAATTCACCCAAAATCAAGAGGAAAAGGAAAAATAAAATAAAATCATGAAAGGGACGATGCTGAAAATAGAAAACAGAAAGGAGAGATTCAAACAATGGATTAATGGTGTATTTGATGGGAAAAATAAGGCAAATAGAGCAGAAGCAAATACCAACAATTTAATAAAAGAAAAATCTTAAACTGACGACCTGAGCTGTGAATCCCAAAGCTTCCATGAATATTAGAGTCCCTTCTAGATACAGTTGTATCTTGAACTTAAGTGGGTGATGTCCCAGAAAAAGTTAGGAACTAGCTCTTGCGTAGTTTTTATTAAAGCATCGTAAGCTCTATCATCCCTATGGTGTTGCTGGTTCTTATAACTGAGTAAAGGGTTGGGATCTTTCCCCCTTTATAATCCTTAATGTTCTTCAAGGAGTTCATATCATATGAAGGGTAAGAGCTTTTCCCTCAGGCCCTCAGTGGGTTTCTGCAGGCAAGTTTGGGGATAGAAGCCGAGACCTTCCTCTAGTCCGACAGTTGGGTGGCAAAGGGAAGGGGAAGGTGCTCCATATAGAAAAGGAAGAATGTGGAGTTTTTGGAGGTGGGGAGACTGAAGAGACCATCCAGAAAGGGGGAGAGGAAAAAAAAGAAATGGGGAAAAACAAAGACAGTAGGGCTACCTCTCACGTGACTCATCTACAAGAACCCTACATTGTGTTAAAATATCCAACATGGCTGGTGTGAGTGGATTTTTTGCAGAGACCAGAAAAGAGCTGAATGTACGATTACAGGGATGTAGATCCAACAGAAATAGCACCTGCAGATGAAGTCACTGGACTCGGAGTCTAGCCAGGACCTACAGAAGTACTTCGGGAGGAGAGTAAAACTAACTGGTGTCCATGACAATTGCACTTGGGTCTCCAACAACAGTGGGTTCCCAAGTGACAACGGCTTCTACCTTGTTTCTTCTCTGAATAGACTCACTTGGGTTCTTGACAGTTCCCTTCACACTGTTATTCATTCTTTCATGTGACAGCTACTGAGATGGGGCTGGGGACAGAGTGGAAAGCAAAAAACAGACAGGTCATGGGGCTTAATGTCCAGTGTTGAGGACAGATCTTATGTCATCATGGTGTTAAGTTCATAATTACAAGTTGACGTAAGTGCTAAGAAGGGAAGGAATGTGGGTCTCTGAGAGCAGATAACAAAGGACTCCATGATGGACAAGGGGGTCAGAGAAGGTTTTCATGAAAGAATGATGCTCTAGTTGAGATCAGAGTGGTGGGAAGGGCATGCTTGGCATTTGGGCTTCATCATGAGACCAATGGGAAGCCACCAAATATTTCTAAGTGGAGATTGAATACATGACTCTGTGCTGTGAAGAAGAGGTTGGAGGGCTTAGAATAGATGTGGTAAGACTAATTAGGAGTCTGTAGGAGTCCAGCCAAGAGTGATGATGGCTTGGGTCCCAGTAATGGCGGTGGAGATGGGAAGACATGATCCGGGTACTTAGAAGGTAAAACTGGCAAAGCCTGGGGTAGATCCAGTGTGAGGCACGAGGGAGGATAAGGTTTCCTGAGTTTCTGTGCGGCTCCATGTAGAGGTTCAGAGTAAGCAAACCAGCAAGTTAGATAGAGAAAGGAACCCTCATGAGCCATAGTTTTGTCCTTTCTCTGCATCTCCTACCTCCTGGTCCCTGAAACACATCTCCCAACTCCTGCCATTAAATAAAGATAAGGGAACGGGAATCTTCTTTCTGGAAATTCCTCAGAACTTCTAGCTAACCAGAGAGAGACCCTCATTCTGCTCAGTCGCAACTTGGTTGTGGGCCAGCTCAACATCCTCTGGGAAACTACAGATACTTGCTTATGGGGTACATTGTTTTAGTCTGTAAACTGCATAATTGCCCTCTTGCCCTCTGGAAGACAGTCCAGCAGAGAAAGAAAAGCCATTATGCAAGTCTCTGTCTCATTTCTAAAGGCATTAAACCCCCACTCTGGCCACCAGAGGAAAGCAGCATTGTCCCAGCTCTGCTTCCTGAAGTTTCTACGGTGGACCCTCATGGGACTCTCCCCAACTTGGTGATGCAAATGAGAAGTTGTGTGGTGTTATAAGGTGCAGAGGGTTGACCCCATTAATCATGCTCTCCTTCCTGAAATACTTCCCTCACTTGGCTTCTGGGAGCCATTACTCCGCTGATTCTCCTCCTATGTCACCGGCTGCTATTTCTAAATGTTTTCTGCTTGTCCCCATGCTTCTTCTTAACCTTTATAATTTCAAGTTTCCTAAGGCTAAGTTCCTGGACTGCTTTTCTTCTCCCTCCTCATTCATTCCTTGGTGATCCCAGCCAGTCCTATGGCTTTACACATAACTTATACCCTGATGCTTCCCCCAGTCCACATCTCTAGGCTCAACATCTCCCTTAGTTATCCAGGTGCTTTCTTCCCACATCTCCATTTTTATATTCAGCCTAATGTTTAAACCTGAATGCTTGATGTCCTGTCTTCCATTGTTCCTCCATCCATTGTTCCACCATCCATTGTTCCTCCACTAGTCTTCCCATCTCAGTTCATGATAACACCACTTACCCACTTTTACCAACACAAAAGCATCCTCATTCTCTAAGTGTAGTCTACGAGCAATTACTATCAGCTCCACCTTCCAGGTATATCTTGAATCTTGTCACTTCTCTCCAGATATCCACCAGATATCCACCAGCACCATTCTGTCCACCATTGTCTTTCTTGGATTTCTGCTGTGTTTTCCTAAGTGGACTCTCTGTTTCTGTTCCTGTATGTTCTCCATTCTTCACCCAGAAGTCAGAGTGATCCATCTAAAACATGAACCAGAGTATGTCACTCCTTGCTCTTCACTCTCTAGTGGGTCTCATCCTATTTAGACAAACTTCAAAGTCTGACCGTGACCTAGGAGGCCCTCAGCCCACCTCTCCAGCCTCACCTCCGACTGCTCTCCCCATCACTCACCAGGCTCAGCCACACTGCCCTCCTTGGTGTGCCATGAACACACCAAGCACCCTCCAACCTTAGGGCTTTCACATGTGGTGCTTCTTCCTCCTGTAGGAAGCATGGCTTCTTCCTCCTGTAGGGCATGGCTACTTCACTGCTTCATTCAGGTGTCTGCTTTACCTTCACTTCATCAAAGAGACCTCCTTAATAATTTTTAAAAAAGCACCCAGACCCTATCACTCTATAAATTTACTCTGCTGTATTTTCCTTCAGAGCATATATCACTCTCTGATCTAATAACTTTCAATTATTCACATCTTTGTTAGTTTCTTCTGTAAAAATATAAGGCCAGGAAGTCAGGGACTATGCCTAACTCCTTTGCTGCTGAATCTCCAGTGCCTGGTACAGAGTCTAGCTCATAGTAAGTGCTCAATAAACATGTGTTGAATAGTTGAATAAATGGATGCCTGGTTCTATTTTAAGAAGGTTAAGTAAAGAAACACCTGTGGGATGCAAAGAGCATACACAGGGAAACACTGGCCATCTGAAAGTGTTACATGAGTTTTGGAACAGGTTGAGGAATGTTAGGGGGAAGCAGACTGGAGGTGGTGGAAAGCAAGCTGCAATTAAAAAAAAAGAATTTACGGTAACTTGTTGAGAGGAAGGAGGGTAAAACAAAAACAGAGAGCAAGGGTATTGAACTTAAATACTTCCTGAGACTTCAGAAACCCTGAAGTGGGAAGGCACATAATATAACCAGGAGGATGACATCCTAAAAGGGTCAGGCGCATTATGGAAAAGCAGACGGAGAAAGAAGAAATGGGAAAGAATGAAAATGTGACTGTATTATGTTTACAAAAAACCATGACGTTACTGGGTATTTACCCCAAAGATACAAATGTAGGGATCCGAAGGGGTACGTGCACCCCAATGTTTATAGCAGCAATGTCCACAATAGCCAAACTGT